GCCCTACATAAACCTACTCTATGTGCATTTCGTGGACTTCATCAGCGCTGAAATATACTCCCTTTGTCCAAAAACAAAAGAGTGATGCTATGGTGCCGTGGGAGGCAATTGCAGCGATGCATATCGGCTCCGACCGCACAAAGAAGGCGACGGCCCAGCTGCTGAAGCTAGAGTATGCCACCCTCAAGTTTAAGGATGGCGAGTCGGTGGAGGATGCCGGTGAAGTACATCCAGATCGCTCTCTCCATAGAGATGATGTTGGACTTGTCCACCCTCACTATTGAGGATATGACAGGTCGTCTGCGGATGGTGGATTTGCGGCGCATGGAGCAGGCCACAAAGAACAACGGACTACGGCAAGCTGCTGGACAGAGGAGGAGGAGTGGGCTGCCCAGATGAAGGAGAAGAAGTCCGAGGAAGCCTCCTCCAAAGCAGCGGTGGCGATGGCAAGCGCCATGCAAGGCTTCTTCGGAGAAGAAAAAGAAGAAAAGAAGGTCGACCCCAACGCCTATCGGCGACATGAAAAAACGGGCCAATGGGCAAATGAGTACCCAAATCACAAGAATGAGAAGAAGGCTTAGGCTCATTTAGCGTAGGCTGATGAGGATAATGAGGCCACTCTCCTAATGGCGACGTTCTGTGCATTGCACGACGTTGAGGCCAAGGAGAAGGGAGAGGTGATGGCGGTGGAAGGGCACGGCAAGGCTCTGAAGGCTGTCAACCTCGACGAACCACGCACCCAAGTCCACCTCCGATGTGTGGGCAGCGAGCAGGAGCAGCGGTGGTACCTGGACTCCGACGCCAGCAACCACATGATGGGTTCCAAGGAAGCCTTCTCCGAGCTCGACGACAATGTGACCAGCACGGTGAAGTTCGGTGATGGCTCAAGGGTGACAATCCGATGGTGTGGCACCATCATCTTCAGGTACCAGAACGGCGAGCACCGTGCGCTGACAAATGTTACATCCTGCAGCCGTGTTCAAGCATCATCAGCATTAGCCAGCTAGATGAGCGTGGTAGCGAGGTACTGATCAAGGACGGCATCCTCAGGATCAGGGACCGGGAGCAGCGCCTTCTTGCCAAGGTGAAGAGGTCCCAGAACTGGTTGTACCTACTCGACTTGAAGGTGGAGCAGCAGGTGTGTCTGGCAGCACGACACACCGAGGAGCCATGGCTGTGGCATGCTCGGTTCGGCCATCTCAGCTTTGATGTGCTCGGTGACTGGAGAAGATGGTCCGAGGACTGCCCCACATCAAGCACGCAAGCAAGCTATGTGACAGCTGTCCGGCCGGAAAGAAGAGGAGGCTGCCGTTTCCAAAGGCGGCCAAGTATCGTGCGGCGGACGCTCTTGAGCTCATCCACGGTGATCTTTGCGGGCCAATCACGCCAGACACAAACGGTGGTCGGCGGTACTTCCTTCTGCTCATGGATGATTGCAGTCGCTATATGTGGTTGCAACTCCTAACGAGCAAGGATGAGGCGGCGGAGGCGATCAAGAAGTTCATGGCGCGCGTGAAGGTGGAGAGCGGCAAGAAGCTGCACGTGCTGCGGACTGATCGCGACGACGAATTCACTTCGGTGGAGTTCACTGCGTACTGCGCGGGTCAGCGTGTGGTGCAATACCACACCACGCCGTACTCACCACAACAGAATGGTGTAGTGGAGTGGCGGAACCAGACGGTGGTCGGCATGGCTCGATCCATGATGAAGGCCAAGAGCATGCCGGCAAGGCTCTGGGGTGAGGTGGTGACCACGGCGGTGTTCATCCTCAACCGCGCGCCCACAAAGGCCCTGAAGGGCGTGACGCCGTTTGAAGCTTGGTATGGGCGCAAGCCGAACGTGTCCTTCCTCCGGACATTCGGCTGCATCGGCCACGTCAGGAAGATGAAGCCGGTGCATGAGTCAATATCATTGTAATAATGTGATTGCAAACTCAAGTTACCAAGCACAAAGCAAGTACAACCCTGATTTAGTTACCATCTTGAAGATGAGTCCAAGACAGCTTCAAACTAAGTAGCAAGCTCCTGACTTTAGAAATAAATGTTACTACTAATTAGTACCAATACCAGCTATCTAGAATGCATTTAGGCCTGCAGAACAAGGCCAGCACAGCAGCAAAATCATGTAGATATCCCACCAAAAACCATGTTTCTGTTCTACTCCCTCCATTCAAAATTATAAGTCGCTTTAACTTTTTTGGTTCATCCATTTTGCTATGTATCTAGACATATTATTATATCTAGATGCATAGGAAAATGAATGTACCAAAAAAGTCAAAGCGACTTATAATTTGGAACAAATGGAGTAGTAATTTCCTTCTTGATTTAGAAGGCCTTGTACTTGTAATTTGACTATTTGAGCTTCTTATGCACTTGACATGCTACAGACTGCAACATCTCCTGGCCCCTCATCTCTAGAGACCCCAACAGCAGCTCCTGGTTCATCATCTGTAGAGACCACAACACTAGCTCCTGCTCCCTCATCTGTGGAGACTGTTCCTGGTGCTGCATAAGAAACACAAATACAAACATGAGGAATCGAAGGTAACAATGAGCATTGGGTCTACACAAATCACACAAGAGCCATGAAGTTGCTTTTTAAGGCCAACAAAACAGAGATGATTTATTATCCAGTTAATGGTCACAGATCCCACATCATCATTAAGATGAACTCAAACTAGTCCAGATATAGCAACACATCCCATTTGTATTTCTACGATGTTATCACATCAAGTGACATTATCATACAAGAGATGATTAAGGAACATATATATCATTAAAGATGGGCATGAGGCTAATAACTGAACTGTAGAAGCTTATGTCGGTAAAACCTTTTATGTAGATAATATATAGGTAGCAGTAGGAGTAATCTGGTTTTTACATGAGGTTAAGATGTCACACTTTGAAAGACTCAATGTTCTTCTCCCGCAAAAGAAAAGAAGAAAAGAGAACACCATGTTGTTGGGCCCATATGCAATCGACCATATTTCCATGCTGAATTAATACTTGCTGTGCAAATGGGCAAACTAAAAGCAATCAAATATGTACCTGGAGTGCAGAAGGTCACGTAGGGAATGATGTAAACCGAGCCTAAGAAGGGCGTTTTTGTTTCCTCATGATGTCGTGATCGCTACAGCGTTGAGCGAACGCGGCTCCGAGGCCACGTTTTGGGAATCGCTGAGCCGCGTTCATTTTCTGCTGCGAAACGCGCAAGCGCCGCAGACCGTTTAGCGGGATTTTCCGCGCATCTCGGTCGCCAACGCGCTTATGAGCGGAAACAAACAGGCCCGAAGTCCCCTACCTTCTTGCTCCTCCCTGAATTCAGATCGATAGTGAAATACCCAACACGTGTCCTTAAGAAAACGACACCAGCTCCTGTATCTGCAAAGGCAGCCACCCAAGGTTTGTCTTCTAAGGGCATGTACAACCCACAGATTGGGGTTCGTCTCTAAACGCCTCGAATCTATCATTAAGACAGATATAAAGATAGGTCATACAACTCATAAACAGGGGTCCGTCTCTAAGCTATTTAATGTTTTGCATGTAGCTAGGATCTACAATGGGTACGCCCGTTTATTGTGTAGCTATTTGATAGAAAATATATCAAGGATAAATAAGAGCAGCATGATACCAAAGAAAGCATGCTATATAGGAAGATCCCGAGTTACCACTGCTTCAAAGATCATAGTAGCAAAGCTCTATTCACATTAAAAAAAATAGTAGTGCACCATAATCAGACAACAGCTAGTAACCTGATAGCTCGGTTCACATTCAGAAAATAGCAGCACATTTAGAAAATAGCAGCACATATAGGATAAAGTTCACATTCAAATAGGATAAAGTTCCTGGACAGTAAGATAATAGTTGCTACAACATTCATAGCTGCAAGTCCTCATAGCCCAGGGTTTTGCAATAAAGCTAACAGGATGATGATGTTCATAGCAGTTCACAGCAAGCTTAATTTCAATCTCCACGGCAGCAGTCTTCACAGCAACTTTACATCAGCTTCACACTGCACACATTCAGAAAAATCACAGTGCTCACAGGATTGCTCTAACTGAAGATTCAGAAAATTGGCACTCAACTGAAGATAGGATCATTGTAGTACTATATGCAGATTTAACTATATCTGGTTTAGCATCTAGCCTGGCGTAAGCATCACTGTAAACAAAGGGGGTGCACATCAAAGAAATCTTAAACTGATAGCATATAGCAATCGAAGCAACACTAGTAGGTACTACAAGCAGCAGCACGCATCTCTGTCAAAGTTGGGGAAGCCGCCTCCGCTGGATCCATCGATGGACGATGGCGCCGTGGCTCTGTCAAACATATTTGAGCTTCGATTGCACTGTCAAACAAAATAGCGCATCTCTGTCAAACAATCCCAGGGACTGGCACTGACCTGCTCAGGGCGGAGCTCACCCACGTGGCTCCCAGTGGCCAGGGCGGAGCGGCGGAGGTCGCCTGCGCGGATCACGGTGGCGGGGGCGGAGCTCCCCCGTTCGCAGCCCGCGGTGCGTGGAGCTGGCCCGCGCGTCCCTCGGCGGCATGGCGGAGGTCGGCGCGCGCAGCTTGCAGCGCGGCCCGTGGCGGCCGCGGCGGAGGTCACCGCGCGCAGCTCGCGGCACGGCGGAGGTTGCCGTGTGCAGCCCACGGCACGGCGGAGCTCGACCGCGCTGCTCGCAACGGCCAGGGCGCCCAACAACCCCACCACGCGCGCGAATACCAGATTCAATGTGTGCCCGCGCGGGATCCGCATCCTTCGGCGAGTTGAGAAGACGACTCCTACAACGCTGCTTCAGCAGGCGATTCGGCCTCGGAGCACGGGCCCTCGCCGTCGCCTCGCGAGGCGACGGGGCATCCGTCTGCAAGCCGAACGAGGATGTATTTTGCAAAAACGGTAACAAAGAGACGGGGGAAGAGACGCCGTTGTACGTGCCCTAAGGCTTCAGGTGGGAGTACTGGATCACGCGGGGCATCATCTGGGAGTAGACCATGAAGCTAAATGACTCTACTTTCTGCCAATCTCCCTTGCTCCCTTAGCCACAGGCATAGTGTTGAATTTCTTGTCATGGCAACTCCTAGCCTGCCATCCTCTGTAGCAATTAGCAGACCTTCCATGCTGTGTTCGAGTCCAGATTGTAGGCGAATCGTACACATTTCATGTGTCAGCAAGTCGTACTTGGTGATTATTTCTCCTACATGGCTGCTTCCTCTCCTGAAGTAGAGGGTATTCCCAACGAGGACACTCCCCATCATACAATAGACAAAGCCTGCCCCAGAATCAAAGATGCGATCACTCCAGCTATTAGCCTGGGATGAGTAGAAACAGGAGAACGCCCGCCCTCCAGATATTCCGACGACGATGACCTTGAAGTGGCAGTCGAGATGGCTGCAGCCGTCGCCCACAGCGCAGACCACGGCCGCGTCCAAGTTAGATATGTACGGGCCTGGACCTGGAGTCGACAGCAGCACGGGCTCCTTGTTCATGATGGGATTCCACACGAAGAGGTAGAGATCGTCCAACTCCCAGTCCCGGGTGGAACGGAGGAGGATGTGGCCATGGCTTGCGTGGATGGCATGCACGTCGCGGCGGTCAGCATGGGGAGGTTGAGCATGTAGCCCAGCAGTGGTGCCGAGCGGTGGAACTCAATGTACCTACGGCGGAAGATGGCGAGGTGACGACGCGGTGCCATTGCCTGCTGACGAGGGCGGCGCGGGATCCTCCGGTGGGAGTCGGAGGAGGCACTGTTCGACGAGCTCGTCCATCAGAACCGAAGGATCCGGAGACGACGGCGCCGCCATGGGGAATGGAAGCGTTGCGATTACAGGAGTGGAGTAGCGGTCTGATGGTGATGGGGGCTGGCTCCAAGCCTCAAACGCATAGCAATATGGGCCCTGGATGAGGTGGGCTCAATAGCAAAAATGCAAAATGAGCCCAGACGTCAGGATCTGCGTGGGTTAAAAACTTAAAATGGCTCCACGGTCAGATCAATACAAAATGGGCCTACATATATTAGTTAGTTTCTTCTCCGTCTCGTCGAATTCCCGGTTATTAGAAAACGTCCTTGCACCTTCAGCTTTTCTCCACGTTCCATTCTCCTTTATTGTTTAAAGAAAAATTTCTCTGCTAAAAAAAATTGAAGAAAAGTTCCATTCTCCTCTCTATACTAATAAAGTCATTTTTTGCATATAATATTTTGTTGAAAATATTTGGATATCATTTTAAATAAATAAATATTTCCAAATATTTGGATTTCGAATTTGAGAAAACATTTTGTAAATTTTTCTTCACAAAAATTGCTTGTATAGTTTTTTGCGAAACGAAACCCTTTTAAAAGTTTTGTTTATTTAAAACCTAGAGCAAGTGGTGCTCAAATATATCTTCTATAGGTCCTAAATAAAAAAACTTACAAAACATTTAAGTTATTTATTTATAAAATGAGTTGCCTCTATCAAAAGTAAACCCACTGAACAAAATCCTTAATCCTATATTAAACCACTTCTCTTTCCTTGTTAAATTTCCAATTAATGTGTTCCGTCAACCACTATCTACATAAATCACAATCCACGTCAGTCCATCACTATTAGATAATATAAAACCGATAGTGATATATAGACAATCACTACCGGTTCATAAGGAAAAAGCTTATCACTATCGGTTGGTAATACGTCCTAGTAGTATTACCAGCCAGAGGTGAGAGTTTCCTTTTTTCAGTGTGATTAACTCTACCTTCCCTTCAGGTCTACATCCTTATCCTTATCTCTCTCCCCTTTCTTACTCTCCCTTCTCATATGTCCTCTCTCCCCTCCTAGATCTTGTTCAAAATCTCCTCCCTCAAAGCCTTCCCATTGCTCTCCTCCTCTCCTTGGCTCCGGTGCGAGCATGAGCCAACGGCACCGACGCAGGCCTAGCCCTAGCGGTCGCTACTCCCTCCAAGTAGCGGTGGCACCGACAGGGCATGGGCAGCAAACCCAGCACCAATGTGGTGGAAGGGGTTGGGTGTTTTTCAGTCTTTTGTGTTTATCTTTTCTTTTTGCTTTGTGAAAATAGGCATCACTACTGGGTAAGCAAATGGTAGTGTAGCAAAACACTAAGGCTAACACTACCAGTTCAAAATCTAGTAGTGAAAGCCGGTTTAGAACCGACAATCATTACAAGTTGTGGGGTAGTGTACCCTTCTTTTCGTACTGTCACCTGAAGCCACGATTAGAACTCACCGTTTCACATCCCCAAAGTCGCGCGAGTCAAGCATGGATGCCCTCGCACGCTCCACGTGGAACCATTCCAGCAAGAAGGTTTTGGGAGCCGGCCACACCAACCTTGTTCTCGCCACCATCCTCTAACCACCTCCTCTCCTTTTTATTTCTCTTGCTTCTCTTTCTTGTGATCCCTCTCGCACAACACCAGGCCACACAGGCCATGCACATGAACACACTTGTTAGGATTCCCCACACGATGATAGTGAAAGACTCCATGCGGAGTCACACACCTGAGACTGAGTCTCACCCTTCTCTCTCTCTCTCTCTCTCCCCCCCCCCTCATATATCTTGGCATGGACCCCCTCGATCGAGAGTGATGTCTAGAGCGGTGCACTCACCATTGTTCGGGATCAGAAGCTCTTCTCTACGCTACCCTAGACATCGACCAACCGAAGGACATATGCCACGCCATCCATCTCATGTCACATCCCGCAGCCCTAGCAGTACCGACAGTACTTAAACCTTAGCCCCGCTTCCGAGGGCCCAGATCTGTGTGAGGAAGGCCTAGATCCAGACTCTGCCACGACACGGATGCAAAAAACGTAAACCACTATCGTGGCTCAGGTGACAAATTTGCTCTATGACTAAGGTGGGTGCTGAGGTGTCTTCACATCACATCACATGTGTCTGTGTGTCATATATATCTTTGGATTTGGACAAAACCAAAACTTGCGATAGAATTGAATTTTCAATGGATACGATGGATAAATCAAACTTGTGGACCAAGTTATTAGCATTAAAAGCTAGTTAGACCCCAGACATTTTTAATGGGCCCGGTAAAACGCTTGCACGCGGCCCAACCAGACAACCAGTCACGCATTGACGTAGTAGGGTTCGTCATTGAAAGAAAATGCAGTGCAGTCGCTAGCAACTGATGTCAATTGACGATATTCGAGAACCCTATATATAGTATATCTGCTGTCTGCACCATATATATAGAGAACTTTACTACATACGTCCACGGTCAACATGGAGTTGTGTCATTGCTGACGTCAAGGAACTGCGACCGAAGAAGAGCAGGGCAGGGGCCTGGCCCACTGGATTGATTAAGATGCACTTGCGGTCGTCATGTTCGTTGACCCAGTCGTTTCGTCTGAACCATTTTGTATCAAAATTCAAAAATAAAAAAAAAATAGTATGACTACCTCGTGCCTGCGCATGCAGAGTCAACTCAGTCCGCACGTTTTCTTCTCTTCCTCCTTTGCATCTCCACCGCACGTTTTATAGGGTAAAATTTGTGTGGGCGATGGGTCCAGCGTGCCGCGCATGCGGCCCCCTCGTCGATCGATGCCGCGTGGATAGAAACTCCATTGGACGGCAGCTGTACACAGTGGCAGAGGACATATTAAACTTGAGGTGTGGCGGATCAAAGCATGCCACGATTCCATGTGCCAACGGCCGTAGTTAGATGTCCTGGAGAGACGCTTTATGCCGTGTGTGCACTATTGACAAGGCCCACTGATGTCTTGTCTTGACAGTTTAGAGACCTTTTCTATAAGTAGAAAAATAGAAATTGAAACAAAAACAAGTAGTAAAAGGTATACGTGGTAGACATACCTTGCCATGATGGTCCTCCGCCCCTGGCTGTACACGACATCTCAACTGAAGCCAAATCAGCAGACGGCTCGGCTCCAAATCCGCTTGGCCTGTCCTTCCCATCGCCTGTACCCGAGGTCCGCGCCACATGTACCCGCCGTATCCGGGGAAGAACGTCCTCTCCATCCGCCTCTACCTGCACACGGCACGGCCTATGCCAGCATTTCGCCGATGCCAGAGCTCCTTCCCCGGGCCCCCTCTTCTACTTGCGCCGATCTGTTGACCTAAGCCGTCGCCGGTGCCGGTGCCGGTGCCGGTGCTATCGCCTGAGCCTCTACCTGGGCACCCTCGCTGTCCACCGTGACTGCTCGACTTGGCGCAGGAGCCCTACTTCAACGAGAAGAAAGGGGCCGAGCCCACTTGCAGCAGGAGCCACGGACAAGAGAGCCATCCGTGCGGGAGGCGGCTAGTAGTGTGGAGGAGCAACCTCTCCTCGAGCGGTGGCCGGCACCACGCGTCATACATCCAAGCTATGGGCGCACGCAAGGGAGTTTAGACCCAGGGTCGATCTAATTTTCTTCCGTTTTATAGTGTGTGCATGCTGAAGCACCGTGCGCATGCAGAAACAAGCATTTGCGCAATAAGATTGGTGATCTTATATAGAGACCAATAAACATTTTTCTTTTGCAGAAATATAAAACAAGGATTGGAACATGGTCTGTAGTATATGCTACATATAGTTGTTTGAACTTGGATGGCCTCTCAGGTTAACAAGCCTCAACTGCCCTTGTCCAACGGTTCTTCAGTATCCCCCTAATCATATTCTCGATCCCACACCAAACCATTTTTATAAGATAATCCCTATTTATTTACAGAAGCAGTAAAAAAATGTCACAACCTCCAAAAATACCTATGGTTTTCAAAGGCGGCCAGTCCATTTACAAAGACAACCTAGAAACCAATCATCTCCGTAAATGAATTTTTATAGCAAGGTCTCTTAAGAACACCACCTATAAAAATTACCACTACAAATGCAGGCCTCTGAACGGTGTCACCTCTGGTAATTAATTTTTAGAAATTGGCCTCTTAAGAGTTCCATCTTTGAAAATGGCTATTAACAGGGGCTGACCTCTTAGGTCTGTCGCCTCTCTAAATCGATTAATAGAAGTGGAAGATGCCTGCTTCTATAAATAGTTGTCCCTAAAAAGTTTGATAACTTTTGTATATGAAGTCCAATGAAGACGAACTCTATATCAAAATTGTACAACTCAATGAGATCTACATCATTTTTTAGCATTTATATTAGAATCCCATAAGGCTACGGATATCCATATTAATGTTTCAGCGGATATAGGTATTGTTGACGCTAGAATATGCCATTACTCGTGCACATCTGCATGCACTCGCAAAGGGTTCCTTCCACAGCCTTTGCGAAGATCGACTTGGTCTGTTTTGATAGATTGGATCATCTGTCAGCCCACCAAACGCTCATCCGAGAGGGACCTGTCAGGGCAAGCGCATATTGGTGTGCCCTAGGCTTGATATACCAGCTAGGGCACCTTCTCGTACCATGGAGACGAGAGAAGATCAACACACAAGAGGTTTTCAACGTAAGATTTAAGGGATAAAAAGGCATAAATAAAAGGTAAAAAGATAAAACATAGTCTCATTTGATGCAATTGTACACGCTCAATCAGTTGTGGCCCTTTATATTTATTGGGCGGGGTGGACTTATATCACCTAATATAAAAAGGGTTGAAGCCCTTACAAAATCCATATCAAAATGTAACTCCAACTCAATTTTAGGCTGCCATTTTGGAAAATTGGCTTGGCCGGTTCACATACGTGTGGAACTTTCCAAAACCATAATTCTCTCGTCTAGGCTCTAACTTAGGCATTTTACATGTACCTTTTGATCTCCTTGACGAGGAGAGCACAATGGTCAAGTCCAATTTGCAGTTTACACAGAAATTACAGACACCACCCTAGCGTCAACCTTTTGTCATTAATTTATGGCTACGTCGCTGCCAGTGCTGAGGTCAACATCCATGACCCAAGGAAACCCACGGCACAGAAAGAAAAAAAACTTGGCCCTCGCTCCTTGAGCAAGTCCATGACGGCGACCAACTTCAGAGCACAGCAACGTACCTCTGGAGCGACCTGATCCACCTTGATGAGTACTTGACTGACCAAGTCGTGTGTCCATGTCAACAAGATTGGTGGCCTTACTATAAATTAAAGCAAGGAACGTTAATTGTATTGTATCGAAGTGCGTCGTAGTATAGCAAAAATAGGATGGCCTGTTGTCAGGTTAACTGCAAGCTTATATTGCGCCCTGCTGTCCAATGGTTCTTCACCATCCTGGTGATAACCATATGCTCCCATGCCAAACCATGCACATGTTCCAGCAGCTCCAACCATGTCCGGAACACTAGCTACACCTGGAACACTAGTTTCCAGCAAATGAATCAGGGCCTCTTATTCCTCCTCGACAACGAGTCGGTCATCTTGCAGCAAGGCAGCCTCGGCTACTACATGCAGGAGAACACTCATCCTGGGTTCAGCTTGACCGACTCCGGCTGGTTCCTCATCCCTAAATGGTTTGATCCATGGAAGATGAGCCATGGTGATGATCATAGGGTCGACTTGAATGAGACCATATCCTTCAGCATCGTCTTCACCCTGAGCGCAGTAAGCACCATCGACCCGTTTTTGTTTGACATCCTTCCCACACTTGAACCACCTGATGACAGAGGACTGCTCATCCACCCCTACCAGGAGGAATTTTTTCCAGAATTTCACCGATACATTGAACATCACATCTCAATCTGGAAAAGGTATCCGGGTTACAGCCACCTTTAGCTCTAGTATATCGACATATAGCATGCGCATCAATTACGATCGTAGTGCGCGCAACCTCTCTGTCTACCTAGTGCGTGATGCAGATGTAGGGACAACAGCCGCCACCACACAGCTCAATGCCACAGACACCCTGACTCCAGATGCCTTACTCTTCGCCATTACATCCTCGATGGGGCAGCTCTTGGAACTCCACAACTGGAACTTCACCATCAAGGTCCAGGTGACTGAACAGTCAAGAGGGCCAAATATTGCCACCATAGTGTCTTCGGTCTTCGGATCAGCAGCTGCCACGGCCACCATTGCTGCTGCTGTCTACTTCTACTTGAACTCAAAGTACAGGAGGTGGAAGAAAGACCTTGACAAGCTCACCAAGACCATGCAGAGCCTCCCCGGTGTGCCTATGCAGGTCGACTTCGCTGACATCAAGAAGGCCACCAACAGCTTCCACGAGACCATGAGGCTGGGGCAAGGTGGATTCGGTGCTGTTTACAGATGCAGGCTTCCTGCACCAAACAAGGGAAAGCTCATGGATGTTGCCATCAAGAAGTTCACTCGGGCTGATAATCTGGGCTATGAAGACTTCCTTGCCGAGGTCAGCATCATCAACCGCCTGCGTCACAAAAATATCGTTCCGCTCGTCGGTAAGGTTGCTTTCATTGTGCTATATATCCTTCTATGTGATAAACTGATAATATGTTCTACTTTTCTTGTCATGACTGAAAAAAGATACTACCTTTATTCCAAATTATAAGTCGTATGCCTTTTCTAGGTATACAGCTTCTGTTATGTAGATAGACATAGTGTATATATATTTAGATAAATAAAAAATTCTATGTGCCTAGAAAAATCAAATGATTTATAATTTAGAATAAAGGGAGTAGCTATTAAACCAGATCCAAATTTCCAAAAAAAAAAAAAGCATCTAATGTTTTTTTTCTCGATTGCAAATAATTAGGATGGTCTTACAACAGAGGAGAGCACATTCTTATCTCTGAGTACATGCCCAATGGTAGCCTAGACCAACATCTCTTCCGTAGGAGCAGCGATGGGCAGCAAGCAACTTGTATTAGCCAGTGGGCCACTCGCTACAACCTCGTCAAGGACATTGCGAGCGGGCTACAGTACGTTCACCATGAATATGAGCCTATGGTGCTCCACCGTGACATCAAGGCGAGCAACATCATGATCGATTTTACCTTCCAAGGACGCCTTGGGGACTTTGGGCTCGCCTGCGTATTGGCCGATGGCAAGGACTCCTACACCGACCACGGCGCCCCTGGAACCCTTGGCTTCAGAGCGCCTGAGTATGTGTACAGCGGTAGGGCCAGCAGGAAGACGGACATATTTGCCTTTGGAGTGCTCGTACTTGAGATTGTTACAGGAAAGAGGGCAGTTGGCAGAGATGTGCAGTTTGGACATGTTATAGACTGGGTATGGAAATTTCATGCAGAGGGCAACCTACTTGCCGCTGTTGATGGTGTGCTCACCACCTCCGCTGAATTCGATGCCGATGAGGCCATACGACTACTCCAGCTTGGCATGGCGTGCAGCAGCTCAAACCCATCCGACCGGCCAAGCATGGTGGATGCGGTGCAGATCATCAGCAAGTCAGTGCCGCCACCGGACATCCCTCTTTTGAAGCCACCGCTCGTGTGGCCACCAGGAGGGTGGGAGTCATCGTCATCGACCTCTGATTCTAGCATGTCGACTAGTAACTTCAACACAACCTCGACATTCATGGTTGAGATGACGGCGAGCAGCAGGGAACACATCTCTTCCGAACAAGAACGCGGCAGATTCACCAGTTATCCCAGAAGGAAGAAGATCTTCGCCGGTGGCCGTCTCCGTTTATCACTCTGAACATGACTTGATCCGCAGCTGAGCTCTACTGAGGAAACCACACATACATCTGCACGTGCTTTATCGTGCTGTACTGTGTGTGACTTTTTCTAGTAATATATGTATTCTTTGTTGCTACCACAGTTGGTTCGTTTACTAGCTAGTAATAGTATGTACTCTTAGATAATAGTACAGTCATGGTATGTAAGATTAATAATCTGTTTAGTTAGTGAGAACACGGAATAGGTTGATACCATACCAGTGACAAGAAATATATCAGATCACCTGGATGATCGTCGAGCCGACCACAGGCTCTCCTCTCCTCGGTGCCATGTACGTAGGCTGTAGCATGTTTGCCGTGATCAATGAGTCCAAGCCAATCATCTACATGAGACATCCATGAAAGCCTTGACTATAGCATTTCGTCGAGCACTTGATTGACTGGAAATTTGGAACTGAGTCTGGAGAGAAAAGGGCAAGAAAAAAAATGCTCAGAGAAGTATTTTATGAAGGCAGACTGAGTCGGGCCGTGTGAAGTATGAGAGTTGAGAGGGAGACCTGGTAGAGGGATCGGAAGCTCATCCTGCCCCGCGAGAGCTGGCCTGTCAGACGGCCCGGAGCCAGGCCACCGGGTCCGTTCACGGCGGAGGGGGCGTCGTCGTTGTCACCTCATCGGATAGCCATGCGGCGGGCGAGTGCGGGCCGCACCATCACGCGCCGGCGCCGGCGCAGCACCGCCGCAGTTTAAGGTCCCATTGCGCGTCGAGGGCAGCGTTGATCTGTCGCCGAAGGCATTTCCTCCGCGGGTGTCGTGGCTGGGCCATTTTTTCTGGCCCAAGTCATCGCCGCTCGCCGACGCCATGAGGAATTTCTGGCCCATGACGATTTGTCTTTGTTTGTTTTTTTTTTCATTATTTATTATTGATGCTAAATTTATTTATTTTTTATTTTTTCACATGTACCTTTTTCCCTTTTACTATTTATTTATTTATATTATTTTTTATTTCTAAAATACTTAGGTGTGTATTAATCATCTAAGTTTTTGTTGTGAACTTTGGGATTGTTCCGAACTTTAAAACAATTTCTAGCCAAGTTTGGAACATTTTCCCATTCTTAAAAGAGAACATGTTTTCTTTTAAGCAGGAATAGTTTTCTCATTAAGTTGGAATATTGGTACATTTTTTCAATATACAATATTTCTCTTCTCTTTTATACTTCTTACTCTTCCTGTTTTAATTTTTTTTTATTTTACTTATTGTTTCTTTATATATACGGCTTGTTCTATCGTTATCATTCTTTGGTTCCTTTGTTTGAGAATTTCATTTTCACCATATGTTTTTTGTTTCTAATGCCATGACCATTTCTTTTTAAAATATGTAGTATTTCTATTTTCCTGTGAACCTAGAATCTCCTATATCATCCTGGGCACCTGGAGTATTTGCAAACAGAAGATCTCCACGCCCCTCACTCTTGCTTCTGAGGAGTGCCACATATGGATTGTGGTAGGAACTAAGGGGCTGTCCTTTATCATAGCCCCTAGCTCAGATAGATAGGCTCTCCAGGTTAGCCCCTGTCCTTCTTTGTTTCTCCCTCTTAATCTTAAACTTTAGTTCTTATCGCATTGGATGTTTAGACACATGCATGGAGTATTAAATATAGATTAATTACGAAACTAAATGCACAGATTGAGACTAATTTGCGAGATGAATTTTGTAAGCCTAATTAATCTATTATTTGATAATGTGGTGTTATAGTAAACATATGCTAATGATGAATTAATTAAGCTTAATAAATTTGTCTCGCGGATTACTGCTGACTTGTGTAATTTGTTTTATTATTACTATCTGAACACTCTCACGTGACACCTCTATATAATCCTCGATGTGACATCCATAAACTTTAGCTCGTTAATTTAAACTACTAAATTTTAACGACGCGCGACTGGTGGGCCTCTGCCATCGGGTGCAGAGACGCAGGTGCTCGGCGAGCACTGCGACCTGTGGGGCGAGTCATCGCGCTGTCTCCTGCGTGGTGCACTATGTGGGGCCTGCTGTCGCTGAGAGGAGCAGCGCGTCGGGGCGAGCGCGCCTGGTGCAGATGTGCACGCGCGCCGGCCTCCACCAAGGGCCAAAGGACACACGGGTCCCTGTGCCGCTCGGGTTTCCTTTGTTGAAAGTGTCGTTGTTGTGCCCCTATGACCGCACCTTCTCTCGATCCTTCGTTCTTCTCGCCGGATATGCCCGTCGCTATTCCTGGGTGTGCCTCTAGTTCTCCGCATTGGTCTATCCTACTAAGTGCTTGACTTAGTCACCGTCGTTTGGCCTATGACAGATGCTTTGTCGTCGTTGTCCTCGGTCCTCTATCTGGCATAAATATACATTGCTATCATATTGCTGTGGGCCTGTCACTTTGCGGATATTTTGCCGTCGTCGCTGTCCTAGGTCCTTTCTCTGGCAGATGCTTTGCGGCCAAGTGTGTATGGGCCTGTCTCCTTGTGAATGCTCTTGGGCGGATGCTTAGCCGCCGATGTTTGCTAGTTCTTCACCTTCTCTAGGTGGATGCTTTGCCACCATGGTCAGCTCTGTAGGCAGCCTTTGCATTTGTGTATCTTCTTCTCGCAGGATTTTAGCTAGTGGGGTTTTGGGGTTGAGGTTCTTCTCCCCCGTCACTGTTCTTTCTATCTTTTTTTCACTTTGGTCGGCTTTCCTGTCACTTTTAATTTCTTCTCTATTTCATCCTTATGTGGGGCAATCAATGGCTTGCCGTGTTTGTAATGCTATCCTCTCAATCGGTCGCGAAAAATAATTGGCTGGCTTATAACTGACATGAACAACCTAGTTTACAACTGAAATTGAAAGTTATAGACCCACATGATACAATAATCCAAGGCACCCGTCAAACATCTCCTAGCTTGAAGGTTAGGTTGTTTTTTACCTTCTACTTGTTCCGTCTTAAAATAAACGACGTTTTCAGACATTTTGTTACGTGGAGGCAATCTTTCATCCTCGGTATTTTATTAATCGAAGAGAGACAGTCGCCTGTAGTGTTAAAAACAAATGCTTTGATGAGCTACGTGTCCAGTTTGAAGCTCTGAGCTGTCCTCTTCTTCTGGAAACCACGAAACCTTCGTTCCTTTGTTTGTTTGCTCAGTTCACTGTTCATAGCAGCATCCCGTACCTACCATGCCATACCAGAAGGAAGTGCAGCAGGCAGGCAGCACAAGGTGGCCTCCTCCCATTGGCTCTCTCCACCACCTCACGCGCCCACGTGTCCCCCTACGCCTCTGTCTGGGCCCGCAGCACTGACGCAGCGCTCCACAGCCCCCACCGTCCACTCTGCTTTTTTTTTCATTTCTCAATGGAGTAAGTCTCCTATCTATTTTCGTACACACATCTTTAAAAATATGGTAGAAACGTGTTATTTGAGTCATGAATTACGTGACGGAGATGTTTAGCGGTATTTAGGTAAACAAAGACGGTGCCTTATATTAGGGAATACATAAGCAATTGCTCATGCCATAGCCCCATCTTGATCCATAAAAATTATGCTTGGGTGCTTGCCTGACATTGCTGCTAAGAAGGTCTCAAAAAGTCAAACAAATGATTCAATAGTTTCGTTACATAGCAACGCAGCCCCAAAATTTACCGTCTGCTTTGTGATGGTTGGTTCCCAGAATAGGAGAAAAGGCATTTGAAACTTATTAGTCTCAAATGTAGTGTCAAATGAGACAACATCGTCAAAACATTTTTGTAATCCATGATAGACTGACCATCCATCCAAAAGAAATTTGCTATCGACCATCTTTCATGTCTACCGATTGCATAAAAACTGCAAGATCATGTAACTTCTTATTTCTTAAGTATTTAGATAGTGTTTGTGCATCATTGGCTTCTAGATACTGCCTACGACCACGACCAATCTCATTATCAGAATCCATCTTAGCAAATGGCACTTTGTCCGGCCCTCCATAACATTCCTTCATGAACTCATACTCTTGGGCAAGTTTCATACCAACTTCTCGTATCTGGCCAGTTAGCTTCCTGTCTGCCTCTATAAGACATCGTCACGGGCGCGGCACGGGCCAGTCCATGAAGTATAATACCAACTTCTCGTATCATACCAACTTCATGAACATTCTCCATTGCACAGTCCATGAAGTATAAGGCGCGGCACGGGCCAGAGCAGCTCGCTAGACTATTGTAATTTCTTTTTTATTTCAAGGGATCGAGAGCTTCATAAGTACATTTGAACTGTAACAGTAGCATTTGTAATGTTTAATGTTGATGGACCTGTCGTCTACGTAGCGAATATAAAGCGAAACCCGATTCCACCAAAAAAATAAAAAATAAATTATATAGAATAATAAAATGCGAAAAAGACATCATCGTAGGTTTTGCATGTCAAGCCGGGAGTGATGTCTCGAGCTCTTCTACAGTTCAAAGCTCAAGCCGGTAGTGTTGGCTTGAGCATCATCTTGCGGCTCGAGCCACAAGCCAGCAGTGTTGGCTTGAGAATCACTGTCGGCTTGAGCCACAAGCTGGCAATATTAGCTTGAGCATCACTGTCGGCTCGAGCCATAAGCTGGCAATGTTGGCTTGAGCATCACTGTTGGCTCGTGCCACAAGCCGGCAGTGTTTGCTTGAGCATCACTGTCGACTCGAGCCACAAGCCGGCACTGTTGGCTCCACTGACACTGCCGGTTGGTGCCAGGAACCGACAATATTGTCTACACATCATCATGGCGGTTACGAGTACCGGCGATGATGTGAACCCCACAGCCGGTATGCCACTGCCTGTTTAAAATCCGGCAGTGAAGGGGGATTTTGAACCGATAGTGATGTCCTGATCTGGGGGCAGTGTTAGGTTTCAGCATAAACCAGTTGACAAGTCCATTGGCATGATGGGGTTTTTTAAAATATATGCGAGTTCCAAGAGGAGTGAAAACAAAAAGAAATCAATACATACATACACATGCAGTTTCGAAAGAGCCGTTCTGCTTTATTATATCTCAGATATAATAA